AATAATAATAATAATATCATATTATTAAAATAATTATAATATTATTATAATATCATATTATATGATAAAATAATAATATTATAGTTATTAATATAATTATAATATTATTTGTTACAATATTACTATTATATTATATTATATTATTATATTATATTACGAGTCTGAATTTTAGTTTGAGAAGATTGTAAATTTTAAATTTTAATATGGGTATTATGAAAGTTTCATTAATTGTACTATGTTGATTATTGCACAATCTAAAAGCTAAAGTTGTCTTTGAGTTGCTTTTGATTTTTGTTGTAGATTCTTTAAAAATTATTAAAAAATGATTTTTGAAGAGATTTACTAAACACTAAAATCAGCGTTTGCTATAAGCAGAAACTGATTTTTAGAGTGACAACAATACCAAACCCAACCCTTATAGGGTTGGCCTATCAGTAACTATAGCCCTTTTTTTTTTTTTTTTTTGGCTAAGGCTATCGTCGTTTTTTATTTGTCAAAGCTACAATTCATATATCTTTTTGACTGCCCAGGCTTGGCATCACCTTTGCTTATTTCCTTAGCATGTATGATATGCGTGCCAACTTAGGATGAAAATATTAATATTTATAGAAATATAAGTAAAATTTTACAAAAATATCGATATCGATAGAAATTAACGTAAAAAATAAAAACTCATACTAAAACACTTTATTTTTAAATGAGACTTTAAAACCTTAAAATAAATAATAATGCATTAATTAGATGAAACTCTCAATCAAAATACCAATCATTTGATAAATATGTAAGGTAAAGTGTGATCATAATACCATAAAATACTAAACACACGTTCACAAATTAAGTAAAATAGTTGAAAATCATCATAATACATATACCATACATATATAGTTTCATACATGATGATAAATTATCAACACTAAAAGAAGCTTCTAGGAGGTTGGGAGGTATTTTTAACACATTCTTAGTTTATACTTGAATTGATACCAAGACATGGAGTTTGAACAGTTCCGTGTATAATTTTAGACATACCATATTTTTTAGATTTTTTTGAAAAGTAAAATATAAAATATAAAATAAAGTTGTGAAAATTTCTATGGAAATTTACCGGTATTTCCACAAAATTTTCGTAAAATTTTGACGATATTCGGTCATTTAACACTACGTTTTACTTGGAAATGGAAATTTTCGTGAAAATATCAATATTTACGGAAATATCCGCGGAAATTTCAAGATATTCTCAGGAAAAGATACTACACCCCTATTTTCATATCGGTACTTACAAAATACGGAAATTTTCGTAGAAATATTGATAAAAATATCGATATTTTCATCCTTAGTGCTAACAAAACAGAGTAATAGACACGAGATTGTATTAGCATCAATTTTTCCCTCCGATATAACCTTTTTCCCGGTGAATTACTCCGATAACGGTCTATTGTGTATTCTATAACGTGGGAGTGATAATTTAGCAACGAAATTATGCAAAGAAATTTCATATACGGATACATTGTCACAATATTATTAGAAGGATATGAAATGGGACAGGAATGAGAAGACACAACTCCATAGAACAACAGCTTTTGAAATACCCAACTTCTTTATAACTTACGCTTTCCACTGCTTAACCACGCATATCAACACAGCATAATTCATAAGAAGATCTGTCATCGTTGCTCAAGGCCTTAGACGCACTTTCCTTCAGTTGTTCAGCTAAACGTCGCAATGTCATCCATTCTTCTCCTTCGATCACCATCCTCACAACCCTCTCAATCTCTTCCCTCATAATGATCCCTTTTCCAACATCCTCCACCACCGGCTTAACCGCCACTCCAACATCCTCCACAAGAACCGTCGCATTCATCCTCTGCTCCGCGTAAAGCGGCCACGCTATCATAGACACGGCCAATTGTTGGCGGTCGATTTTTGTCAACAAGACTTTACTGGGTTACCCTTTGGTGGCCCGTCGGATTACCGGTAAAAACTTTTAATTTAACTGAATATTCTAGACACGGTATTTACGCTTTTGATGTATTGTGAGGAGTATTTGGTGTTGTGTTTTAATGGAAGTAAGAACGCACATAAATTTTATAGTGATTCACCCTTTTGAAAGAAGAGCTACGTCCACTGTATTTTATTTATTTTCTACTCTTCACAGGTTACATAAAAAATCAATCTCCCTTTCTCTCTGGGGCTTTGTCCCCTTTTATAGCCCACAGATTGTATGTGGGTCCCTTCAGGATGGGCGGTCACATGGGGGTTAACAGTGGTTTTCCTTAGGTAGCTTGTCACTCTACCTGCCTAGATTGTAGCCTTTTTAGCACCTTTTAGACTGTTCACTTATCAAATTTGTCCCCTATTACAGCTCTGCAGATCTTTGGTGATTTCCATTTGTCTGTTCCAGGCAGTTTAGGGTTTTGTAATCATTCCTTGTACTACTAACCTTCTCCCAATCCAGACGCAACCTTGGGATCTCCAACTTGTCACCTCCAAGGTTTAACTTGGGATGCAGGCTCATTTGTCTTTGTTCTTTCTTCGGCGCCTACACTCTCTCTCAGGGCATGGCCTCTGTCTCGGTCGACCATACTTTGGGTCGACGCTCCTATAAATCGCCTCTTACAGTCGGCCTCTCCGCCAGATGGAGGGGAGATGAGTCTCCAAGCGTCGACAGCTATCTGACGTGGCAAACGTAGGGTCACGTGGGGCACGACTGTTGTTTGATGTGTCAGCGTATATTTTTCCCTAAAATTCCCTACAACAATGGGCACGCCATGAGCGACGCTCTCTAAAACAGAGTTCCAACAGCAGTGTGACCAAAACGCGCCGGTCGACGCGTCACCGCCACCTGAGCGGCCCACGACGAAACGACAAGGCCCACATCCTTAGTCCTCTCTAAGAAACCCTCAGGCAGAAACGACGCCGGTTCGTTGTTACAGTTAGCTTCACCACCCGCGTTGAAGTATCTTCCCGATGGAGTAGAATCAGAAGAAGCTTTCAAATGAATCTTTGCTCACTCAGCTCTAAGCCCTACGCTAACTCCGTGATTTGCTGAGCTGTCAGCGTTCGTCCGCTGCCGAGTGCGACGAAAATGACAGAGTTTCGCGGTTGTTTGTCGAGCCATTTCAGACACTCGGACCCGGCCGACTCCAGTTCGGCTCCCTTGATTATCGGTCCAATCGGGTAAACCGGCGGTGTTTTGGCTATTTGGCGGTAAAACGGGTTTTCTGTAATGGCTCGCACCGTTGTTGAATTGAGATCATCCCAGGTGTTGAGGAATATTCCAGAAGGGAAGGGAAGCCTGCTCATGTGAAACAAGAACCATTTGAAGTCGTCATTTTTCCAGTCTCGGACTTGGTCAAGGATGTCTTCGGTCCGGACCGGAGAGCAACCAGGGACTTGAACCGGTTCGGGGAGGTCTAGAAACTCGAAGTCAACCTCGTTGTACAGGTCGGAAGATAGAGCGAGAAAGCGAGGAGAATTGGGGAGGCAGTGTAGAAGGTGTAAACCGGAATGGAAAGCTCTTCGCAAACTTGGAAAGCTTGGGTGCATAAGAGGTCAATGACGAGGGCTTTGGGCTTGGAATCAAGAGAGAGGAGAAGAGATTTGAGACATTTTGAGGTTTTCTTGTACGAGTAGGCAGATTCGAGTAAGGAGGAGGCTGTGCGTGTCCTCGATGACGTCAGCGGGAGGGAGGTCGATGACGTGGAGTAAGGGAGGAAGCGTTGGGGAGTGGAGGAGCTGGGTCTGGGCAGCGGTGGAGTCGGCGGTGATGTTCACGAAGCTGACGTGGAACCCGTGGTCAACGACGAGTCGCTTAACGAGCTCGAAGAGGGGATGATGTGGCCCATCCTGGGGCTTGGTAGGACTACCACGTGAGGTTTTGTGGTTTCCGATTCGGCCAAGACCATTGTTGATGTCTCCAAGTTAAGTGTTTTAGAGAGGCCTTAGACGGGAGATTTCTGAGACGTTTAGTTCATGGATTA